GGAAGCCTGCTTCTCCCTCTCCCACTCCCCCTGCTTGTGTTCCCTCTCTCGCTGTGTCTCTCTCTGTCAAATAAATAATATCTTAAAAAAAAAAAAAGAACATTGATAGTAATGGAAAGGATGACCCAGGGGAAGAGGCATAATGTGAGAGGAAAATGAACAGGACACTGGCACTGGCCCGAGGGTGGGGGCACAACATGAGGATTCAAGCAAGTCCAGGGTTTCCCTGAGGAACAGAAACAATGCAGCGGTCGAGGGGGTGGGACATGGTGGTCACAACACACACACCACCCAGACCTCAGTGGCCTTTCCTTCCTTCTGAACCAGACCCTTCCCCTACGGCCCCTCCTGGCTTCTGATTTGACCTGGGACTCATTCCCCTCCCTTTTTCTTCTTATTTCAGATGAAAGAAGCACCACAGGCCTCCCTGTGGGGTCCATCGTTGGCATTGGAGTCGGGGTCCTGGTCGGACTGGCACTGGCGGCCGCCCTGGGTTGTCTCCTGCTCCGCACAAGGACTGGAAGATACGATGGCATTTCCCACACACTGATCCTGTCCCCCAGCTGACCCTGGGCCAGGAGGGGACCCCATCCTGACCTAGGATTCTGGTCTGGCTCTTCCAGGCCGCCGAACAGCCCTCTGAATTTTCCCTCTCATTCCATCTGGCTCCTTCCTAACCAGCTGCTGACCAGTGAATCCTTCAAATGTTCCTCAGTTATAAATTAGGGACAACTAGGAAACAGCCCATCATGGTTTTCCTGGTTCAACTGGCAAACCTACAGTGGTGCTGACAGGACTAAGTGCTTGGTAAATGGCACCTCCCATGGTTTATTTATGTCTACATGCCCTGTGAGGGAGAGTTAAACCTCAGGATCTGAGGCTGGTCCTGGTCAAGGTCACACAATGGAGAGTAGAAGAGCCTGACAGTCCAGGTGAGTTCATCCCCCAAATGGCAGATGCAGGAACCACAGCCCCTGATCTGTGAGAGCAGAGAACCTGGGCTCGGCCAGGGGGAGGTCCTGGAATGTCCTTTATGCCTCTTGTCCAGGCAGATGGAGATAGAGGACGGGCTGCTGTCACATTTCAGCATCTCCTGGCCTGAGGGGGCGAGGGTCTGGCCACAGCAGGGGCACCACATTCAGGGATCCAGCATACCCGGGGCTCCCCAACTGTCCTGCACACGTAGCTGCAGGCTTGACCCTTCCACTCAGACAAACCCTCATGTTTGATTCCTTTCCTGGGTCCTCCATTCTTTTTCTGCACACTTTCTCCTAGATGCCCATCAGCCTGAGTGTCTTCCCCTCTGGGCCGAGGACATGCTCCAAAGGCTTTCCTTATCCCCTCTCCTGGGCCTGTCCTCTCCTAATCAGCACTGGTGGAGAGAGGGGGTCTCTAACCCCTGCCTGGAATGAGGATCCTGCTTGTCCCCTGCTCTGACACCAAAGCTGTGACCTCTCCCTGCACCCCTCACACGTAAGCCTGATCTTTCCTAGGGCCAGTGGCTGGTGTGATCTCAGAGAGCTCTGTTGCCCAGCATCCACCCCCTGTGAGTATCTTCAGCGTGGGTGGGACCCGGAGCCCCGAAGTCCTGCCCACATTGTCCACTCCTGCCAATCACTCCCCAGGGCCTCTGACCCTTTCTATGTGGCTTCAGCTCAGGGGACCTCAAATGGCCATACACCCCGACCTGTGGAATCTAGGTCATAGGTCAGCACCTTGACCTCACGGGCCCTAACATGGCCAGTGGGTCTGTCCCTGGGAGGTGCTCCTGCTTCCCTATTCTCTGAGAGCTGAGGACCTGTCCCCTCCTGGAGGGTGGCCCCAAGCTTCTTCACAGCCCTGGTGCTAACTCCTGTCTCTGTCCCCAGGCCATGGTCCAGCCTGCAGCTCCACATCCCCGGTAAGCCCACCCCCTGCACCACTCTTTCCACTGGGGTCCAGGCTGTGCAGACTCAAGGCAGAGCAACCAGCCAATTCAGCAGCACAGAGCAGACCTTGCTTCCCTCAGAGTAGCCAGGACAAGGCAAGCCCTGTTCTGGCCAGGAGTGGACCCTCTTCAGGGGCAGGACCACCCCCCAGCATGTCCTGAGTTGTCCCTGCTCCCCTGAGCTGGCCAAAGGAGAACCCTGGAGTCCAGCCAGGGGCAGGGCGGGCACTGGGAGCATCAGCCAGGGGTCCTGGGCAGTGGTCGGGGCCTGGGGTGTGGGTCAGCAGGCTTGGAGAAGGCTGCTCCAGAGGCAGAAGTGGTCACTTCTGTAGAGAAATGACGCTGCCTCTTTGACTACCAATACCCATTGTCTCCTGTTTAGGACTCCCTGCCCAGCCCCACCACAGCCATTCCCATCTACCAGGTGAGTGTGGTCAATGACTGCTCTGGTCCCTGAAGCCCAAGGGGGCCGAAGATCTGCGCCCATCCTGCCCCTGGCTGTGTTTTCAGGTTCAGGAAACAGGAGAGCAAGGGGGACAGGGCATTGTCCTGGAGGAAGGAGGGGCCTGGGGCAGACACCTACCACACAGCCAGGCTCCCAGAGAGCAGCCCAGGTGGGCCTAGAACCTGAAAGTCACCCAGAAATGTTCTAAGAAGATGACAGGGGCTCAGAGGCCTCTTCTTCTTTTACAGGAATTACGACACCCCAACACAAACATTTATTGCCAGATCAACCACAAAGCAGAAATGGCTTCTTAGTTTCCCCTGGGAACTGCTCCTTCCAGGGCCCTCCTGGGACCCCAGACTCTAGGTGGGGTCAGGAGCTGCAGCCTGAGCCAGAGAACTAGCTCTAAGCCCTGAAGATATTCAGGGACATGGACCCAGGGTCAGGTCCCTCCTGATTTCTGGAGACCCCTACAGGCTGCCCTGAACCCAGGACAAAGGCCCCCATTTCCCAGGAAGTGGGGGTTCCCAGGGAAAGTGTCCTGACCCCTGGCCCACCAGGGATGATCTGAAAGGATCTGAATAAAGAGGACTCATCCCCTCCTTGGCCCTTTTTTTGGTGAATGGTAATTTCTCTTAGCAGAAATTTCCCCAGGGGCACCTGGCTGGCTCAGTCAATAGAGCATGCTACTGTATTTTTTTTTTAATGTTTTATTTATTTATGTGAGGGAGAGGGAGAGCAAGAGAGCACAAGAAGGGGGAATGGGAGAGGGAGAAGCAGACTTCCACTGAGCAGGGAGCCCGATGGGAGGCTTGATCCCAGGACCCTGAGATCATGACCATAGCTGAAGGCAGATGCTTAACCAACAGAGCCACCCAGGTGCCTGGAGCATAAAACCCTTGATCTTTGGATCATGAATTTGAGCCCCATGTGTGACATAGAATTTAGTTTAAAAAAATAGTAAAGTGGTCTCAAGAGACCCCTACTAGGTCATTCCTTGAAATCTTAAGGACAGAGAGCTCCTGCTGAGGGAGCACCTCCCTCTGGGGGGACAATTCTCCTGACACGGGAGCAGGAATCTTCCGGTCAGTGCCTGTGCTCTGCTATGGCTCACCCTGCCCTGGGATGGAGTCAGGCAGTCTAGGACCCACAGAGTCCAGGACCCGGGCTGCCCAGTCCTTCACCTGTGCCCAGGGCTCCCGTCCCACTCACATCCTTGGGAGCCTAGGCAGCATTCCTGGTGCTGCCCCGAGAATCGCCGCCAAAGGGTGACATAGGGACATGCAGAAAACACACAAAAAAACCCTGAAGCTGGCTTTAGCTAAGGAGGTGGAGGAGCCTGGTTTCCATCCCTTTCTCCAACAGACACTTCTGGGTCGCTCCCACGTGCCAGTTCTGTCCTGCCCGCTCCTACTAGGGCCCTAGGAGGTCCCTGACCTGTCAGGGGTCCGTGTGCAGCTCCCCATTCCCTGCCTGGCACCACCATGGGGGAGGTAGGGTGACCATAGGAAAGTCCCCAGGCAGAGCACACAGGCTGCCCAGGATGCTCAGGGGCACATGGACAGTCTCAGGGCCACAATTCAGCCAACAGACATGGAGAGGGAGGGTCTCCTTCAAACCTTCCTGGCGGCCCCAGCCATCCGATCTCCCACCAGTCCTCTCTTCA